GTATCGGCGTGCGCAGGCCAGAGTGCTGAAGCTCGGAGCATTGTTATTATGAAGCTAGGGCACATGCGGAGGACACACGCGCAAAAATATACTTGTTTTCAATTACATTTATTGTGCCCTCTTACTTTTTCTTAGGCCCACCCACAAATGAGTTTCTGGCTACGCTAATGGTGACATATGACAGACTTCTCTGAGCGCCGCAGCCATTACACTTGTCACCTTGCGCACCCCCTAGCGGCAGCTCGCGCACCCCCAAGGGTGTGCGCACCACACTTAGGGAATCCCTGGCCTAAGAAAAACAATAATTCAGGGGGTCAAAATTTCCCACAACACTCGTTTCACGTGGATCACGGTGCCTCAATGTCTTTGAAGTCGGCGCTGTGGTCAATCTACTGGACCTGGGTGCTAAGAGGTCATCCGAGCTCGATGACCTCCATGTCCATGAAGAGGGTCTCCGAAGGGGTGAGGTAGAGCACAGTGTGATTGCGTCTGATGCTTTTTGTTAAGAATCAACTTCTTAGCTTAACGCATGCCAAATTCTTTTACACCCAGAACTCAGCTCTGTTCTGATAACATCGCATTCAGACATAGGCACCATCTACTGCATCTAGATTCATCCATCACAGTAAATATTAGTTAACCTGTCATGTTTTAATTGTTTGTGAATTAAGTTCTTACTTTTATAAACCTGACTCTTTCCTTGAATCAAAACGAAGTGTTTACAATCCCTGAATAAAAGAATCCTAGAATCTTCTGATTAAACACAGTAAAGACCAAACAGGTTGATATTCTATATTTAGATAGAGTATCACAGCTTATTGGTCATAAGTAGAGGTCATATATATTGAGCTCTTAAAGCACTCAATTTGCCAAACCCTAAAATGTGAACAAAGTGACTGCCGCTACCAGTTTAGGATATGGAGCGATCACTGGCTGCTCGTTAGCCACGGCTGGTGAAGGAGTGTTGGTGAGCCGGGGACACGCTGGAGATCAAGTAAACAATGCTGACTTATCCACCAGCTAATTGTGGCTCACAGCTGGCATGGTGGAGATGGGCGTCACGAGCTACCGAGCTAGTTAGCCACAGCTAGAGCCAGGGAGACGCTGTGTATGCTGTGTGTAAACTCCCATGGATTACCAGCAAAAGGAGACCCAAGTCTAAAGGTAACATTTGAGAAGAAGCCCTCTGTGTCGGAGCGTCTCTGTAACGCGTGGAGAACTACATCGCTGTTAGTTGAGTGTTGTGGAGATAAAGTAGACAACGCTGCTTTAGCCACTGGCTAGCGCATGAGCGCTGGAGCGTGTTGGGCGAGACGGCAGGCTGCAGGAAGAGAGGAGTCCTGAGTAGAAGGACTTTAGAATGGACACATTGGGACCGGGTCGGGAGTTCTGGTACTAAGAAAAGACGGATTAATAACTGGAGGTGAGTTTGGGAGTCAGAGACACTAATCGGAGGCTGGCGTTCAGCTAAAAGCGGGCGGGGCCTGAACATATGCGGCTTCCTCGTGTTGGACATGATGACGAACTGACAAATTTTATGTCTTTTAATGTAATTGTTTGTTATTCAAACTAACAAGTGCAGCAACGGTGTAGCTATTATTTTCTATTTCTTAGTTGAATTAGCAGACTCCATGCTTCCAGGGCTCACTGCTGCCCTCTGCTGGTTCTGTCAGGTTACAGCCATAGTCCAAATGGTAACGTGGAGCTCCTATGTCCCTAAACAGCTACTGTATTTTAAGATGGTGGATGACCAGGGAGGGTCGACCACCGTTTATGTATTTAAAATGTAACATTTCAAGATGAGAGGAATATTTAGAATTGATGTTGGTGAGAAATATTAGTGAAAAAGGACACATTTGTGAACTGGAAACACAGGATTTATAGTAAACAGGTAAAAAAAAAATCACACACTGGGCCTTTAAGCTCGGTTTGTGAATTTACTCAGGGATGTAACAAAATGTTACATAACTATTGAAGGAACATTCTTACTTTAAATATAAAAAAGGTTGTCAGTAATAATGATTTCTTGCTCCTCTTCATTAAGTGCAGAAAGAAAATGGTTCCTCGGGCTGGGCAACTCATGGCAGGCACACAGGGTCACCTACCCAATTCAGCAGGACCTACTCTTTAAATTTACTTAAAATGAGTTTATGGACATCAGCCAGATGTTTAAGTAACACTTGGAACACTGAAATAAAGGTCATGAACTCAAATCTGCAGAGGTAAAAATTAAGTCTGTCACTTTTGAGAAAGGTGAACTTCATAAAAGTCAGTTAGTGCAACTTTTTCAGGGAAATAACTTATTTGAACTCACTTTGTTTATTAAGATATATTGTTAGGTTTTACAGTTGGACCAGTTCAGTTTGCTGTTGAGGTGAACACCCGGGTACCTAAAGGCATCCACCACCTCAATGTCTGCACCCTGGATGAAGTCAGTCACCACTTCCTTTGTCTTACTGGTGCTCAAGTGAAGGTGGTCATGCTCACAGCAGTCCACAAAGTCCATGATAACTGACCTGTACTCCTGGTCATTCTCCCAGACACACAGCCGACAATGGCCAAGTCATCAGAGTACTTCTGGAAGTGACAGCTGGTGTTGCAGGGAAGCCCCCACAATGCGGCTCAAAAATTGAGGCCAACCCGGAAGTACCAAGAATTGCAGTACCACCCTCATCCACTAGGGGCTGGTGTCAGAAGCGAACAAATCCTCATTGACTCCCATGTTAAAAATACCAATTTCACAGCAGAAATAAACATGTTTACAGCCTGGTACCAAAACATGTTTTTTGTTTAAATGATCTAGTTTACAGTCATGACAACTCTGAGGGGGGTGAATTTTTTTCTCACTCTTCTGTTTAAGTGTATTAAAAGCCTAAAATTCTGTATAATTAATGAGCATCCGACACACGTGACCACAGAGCTAGCTCCGTGGAAAGGCCTCAGTAGAGCCTCGGCCTGGCTTGGAAACTGCTCCGGCATTTTGAGTCTCTGTGTTTGTGTATTCTTTTTTGGATATTTTTTCTGCAATTGTTGGACAAAATGACTTGCTGTGGCATTAATTGCACTAATAGAGCGTCCAAGGAGTCTCCACTTCATTTTTTTCGGAAAGTAAAATTATATTTATGTATTTTAGGTCACTGCCGAGCTGAGCTTAGATTTTAACATGTACTGTTTAACCATGAAATTTAAATGTAATAGGGTAAAACCCAGTGCATTTAACATAATGCTGCACTTTAGAAAATGGGTTGAAATATAACATGTTGGTGGAGCTGGGTTCCAACTATCGGCTTGTGGAGCTCTCGGGAGACCTCTGTTTTCCACCCTTTTCTCCCCTCCCCGCAGCTCGGCGCATCTCTGTCTGATCGCGGCTCATGTCTGCTGTGCGGCTGCCGGCATTCAGCAGCTTTCAGGAGACCTCTGTGTTCCACCCGGTTTTACCCAGCGGTCAGCCCGGCGTATCTCTGACTCAGAAGCTCTGGTGTTGTGCACAGTTAACTCTGGTTGTAGCTAGGTTGCTACCTCCGTTAGCTTAGCTCCCACCTCCGCGTTAGCTTTGGGTTAGCTTCAGGTTAGCTTGTAGCTAGTTCGACCGGGTGTCGTCAGTTGATCCCAGCCTTACAGCCCCACCCTCAGCTCCACCTCTCTTCCCTTTTGTGGAATTGTTTGGGCTTGATGGAACCTGTGACACGGTCAAAGTGGCGGTGGTGGCCACCTCCCATTTTAGTCCAAAAACTTATTATTGGAGCCTATGGAAACCCATTGTCCAATATTTATATGTTGATGGTTGTAGGTGAAGTCCGAGGTGTAGAGGATGAAGAGAAAGGGTGAGAGCACAGTACCCTGTGGAGCTCCAGTACTGCACACAACCTCCTCAGATGTACAGTTGTGCAGCCTCATACTGTTGGTGAGGTGGTTCGTCCACTCCTGCACCCCTCATCTTCTGCTGCAGTAAACACGGCTGGATGGTGTTGAAGGCATGAACATGATTCTCACAGTGCCATTTTGCATCTTGAGGTGAGCCAGAGCCCGGTGCTGCAGGTAGATGAGTGCGTCCTCCACCCCCATGTTTGGTTTACATGCAAATTCAGGGTTGGAAATTAGCACCCGGCACCGGCCAAATACGGGTAAATTCATGAAGTAGCGGGTTAATCGGCACAATGCACACACCTTATTGGTGGATCTCAAACGTGAAGATAAAGCAGCGTTGTTTACACAGCTGACCTGATGGGTCAGAGATGAATTTCACCAGTGTGTGATGATGACTATGGGACTTTTTTTGACGCGCTACACTTCCAAAACACATCAGACTCCGCAGTTTAGATCGAGCCAGACAGGAAGTCAAACACAAAGGAATCTTAGAACATCTATGAACCTTCAAAATAAAGGTCACATGCAGTACGCCATTTCCTGTGAACTTTTTTGACCGATGTAAACAGAACATAAAATAACCCCCAGACATTTTTCCATGCATGCAGCTGTCTTTCTTCTTGTTTATTATCGTGTGTGGACGTCTGAAATCACGTGTGGCATTGCAATTCTTCCGTGATTTTGTGACATCACAGGATCAGCTGTGTGAAACGCTTTCACTCACGTTTCCCATCAGAATTGCTCCCAGTTGGGAATGAGCTCGCGGGTGGGATGCCGCTATGACATTACGAGACTGTTTCCATGGCCAGTGGAAAGCTGGGGTGACTGTTTTAGGTTGTGGACATGTGTCCTTTCCACTGAGAAGTTCCAACAGGTGCCATTAATACAGGTAATGAGTGGAGGACACAGCAACCTCTTACAGAAGAGGTTGCATGTCTGTGAGAGATAATTAGCAAAGAAATTCTTTAAAAATCAGATAATGTGGATTTGTGGATTTTTTTCTTCTCTTTTTGTCTCTCACAGTTGGGTAATGACCAGCCTCTCATCTTTTAAGTGAGAGACGTTGCACAATTGCATGCTGACTAAACACTCATTGTACATAAAGATTATCTCAGAAGAAAAAAAAAGTCTGCTTTTGGAAGCAAAACAAAGGCTTTATTTTTAGTTCAGAGACTTTAAATTGCAGTAAAACAGAAGCGATCCCAACACCCAGATATAGTTTTCAGATTAGATGATAAGAAAAAAAAAAGATAAGCATCAAGTTCTGAGTTGGTTCTGTTACAGTCAGCAGCTCACTTGTATTCTGTACATGTATAATTGATGAAGACAACATTTATTTTTACACATTTTATTAAATACGTTTCTAATAGTTTGAAAATCACAACAAAGGCCTGCTGTGGGCGGTGTGTTGTGGAACGTTTTAGTCCTTTTCAGGTGAACCCACCAGAACTAGATTACACAATCCATTCAGATTGACAGTAAAAGCCTTAAAAGACTGAATCCTTGTTTTTTACATCTTGTCTCACATTTTTGTAATTATTTCACCAGGTGAGTCGACTGAGAACCCATTCTCATTTACCACACTGCTGTATCCTTGCATACTCATTCAGAAATGAACAGAAAGTTTTTATTATACAATCATTTTTGGGGCTGGGGAAAAAAGTTGACTATTTCTTTAATTTAGACAGCTGAAAACCCCTTGAAAGTTTTTTCTGGGATTGGTTGAGAAAATAACCGTCTGAATTACCGTAAACACAAAACCTGCTGGATGACTTCAGCAGCTGTCCTAACAGGCGTGCACAGATGTGCAGAAACAGCTGCGGCTCTCAGCAATCAGTGACAACCAAATTCAGATCAGCTTGGCGACCTGCAGTCATGGTGCCACTGACTTTCACCCGGCCCTTGCTGTGAGACAGTAAACCATCTGAAGCTTTTTGACGGAGAAAACCTTCTTGTTTCCCATCTTGCATTTTACTGTAAAGGTATTCACCACAGGGCTGGGAATGGTCAAACACCCCCAGACCAAACCAGTTGTTGTATAGAAAGCTGCAGGTAACTGAGCAGAAGAAGACTATTTGCCCCGTTTTTGTCTGGGTTGCTTTCTTCACAATGTCGTAGGTCACGACCACGGCAACTCCATAAGCTGTGTAGGGGGTCTTGATGAACGTGGCATTGCCGCTCTTACCCGGCTCAATAACAGAAGGTAGAAAAGACTGAGGTTGTCCATGCTCCATGTGGTACCTGGACAAAAAGTAAAGGAATTGTTTTTTCACCAACCAAAGACAAATACAAGCAACTGCTGTATTTATTATTCAGTATCTGGTTTTAACTTCAGGTTTGTTGTCACGTTAAAGCTGCCTCGTTTTTCAGAACGTATCAATTTAAAACAAAATTCAAGAAAATTCCAAGAAGCTTGAAAATATAATCATAACAAAGCTTTCACCTGCAGAAATGTTTTCCTTGGATAAAAATGTATTTATGATGATAATACACAACTAAAATGGTAACTATGATTGTGTATTTGCATCTAAATGCCAACTAACATTTACTGATGCTTGGGATGACCCCTAAGAACTAGAACAGATGCTTTGATGCACTTTTAAAAATGTTTTATTAAATAAATGTAATAAACATATTTACATATGTATAGTAGTAGTAATAATAATTATAATTGTTATTATTATTATTAATATATACATTTTTTATTATGACTATTTTTAAAGACTTGTAAGTGGTGCTAGTTTTAGTTCCAGATTTGATTGCTGACAGACTTTATTTAAAATGGTGATATTTAGGGTTAGGGTTACCCTAACCCTGTACAGTAACTTTGAACTTGGGCGTATTTATAGAGGACAAAAAATAAAATAAAATACAACACATCCTTTTAGTTTGTTATATTACATTTTCAGTACTCACTGTGGGTTGGTCAGAATGTAACCAGAGGTTGAGTTTGTGACCGTGACATCGCACTGAAAAATAAACTTATTTTACTAAATGAAATGACAAAAATGGCTGCCCACCTAGAATAACAATAATTCAACATTATGTCATCACCGTTACACACAAATATAACAAATGTGTTTGCAAAGTTTACTTTTAGTTTAACTAACAAATCAAACCAGAAGTGATCTGTTCATGCACCAGCTGTTACATAATAAATGTAAACCAAGACAAATGCGGCTCTCGTCTTACATATTCAGCCATGATGGGGTTTTTGCCTTGCCTGCCTGGTGTCAGTGGGACCGGATCCGCTGCTAATGGTCGTACTTTAGCGGAGGAACTTGACCTACATGTTAGCAACATGACAGGAAAATAAAATCAACTGTGTCAACATTCATTTGATGAAAATAGAGAAAGTGTTATGTCAAAAATCCCCTGTCACATTTAAGGAACATTAATAATATTAGTTTTCTGTGCTGTTGTGTTTGAGATCAGCTGGTGAGATGAAATTCCCAAAGACTAGTTTTTAAATAGGCATTACTTCTCATCAGGGATTTTCAATGAACCAAAAAAGTTTATATCATGACTAAATAATCACCAACTTGCCTGCAGCCACAAATAATCTGTGTTTGGGTCATTAATGAGCTGCTGTCACCATTTTGAAGCAAATAGATAGACACGTATTCACTCATAGGCAGTAGTCTAGTATTGTAACCTTTGACCTCTAAAAACCACAAATAAAAAATGAAAAATCTTGGGTTCCAAGTTCCAACTCTGTGCAGCGTACTGCAGGAGACATGGACGTACCGTGTAAACCCGGTATTGCACGAGTATTGAACACATACTGAATATTGCACGTGAGGTTGTGGGAAATAAAGGTTCTAGGAGATACCATCTAAAATCATTAAAGTCTCAAACACGGCTGGACTGGGGCAAAAATCTGGTCCTGGCAGTTGTCCACTCCATAAGAGTGGGGTGGGGGTGCGGACCGGACCAAACCGAACCGAACCACATAAACGGCCCAACGTCCATTGCCCGGTAAAAAGACGTCAATTCTATAAAATATACAAAAATCAACAAAACCCTGATTTGTGGAGTTTTCATCTCACACACAGACACACACACACACACACACACACACACACACACACACACACACACACCCTCGTTATTACAAACCCTTAAGTTTAATAAATCACTTCGTTGGGATGAAAACTGTTCTCCCCAGGTGTGCACTCATTTTCTTTGGTCACAGTTTTTTTCGCCAACCATCTAGAAGCAGGCACCCGAGGTGTGAGCACATGCATAAACAGCTGTTTGACCCGTCCCTGTACTGGTGGACGAATGACTGTCCAGGATGCAACCTGGCTCTCATCCAGGAGCAGCTGGAGAAAAGCACCCACTCACCAGAACAGGATTATACATCACACAAATAAAACTACTGGGATGAAACAAAGTAAACTTACAGTTTGTTCAGAGTCCAGAGAGGTGAAGATGCTGTTTCTCTGTTGGATGTCAGACAGGCTGATAGACTTCTATATTTATAGGGACTTCTATCCATGATGATACAGGTGAAGTCGTAGAACCTGCAAAACAACATTCCTGTCAGTTCCTGGAACACAACTGATCTAAAAGTCCAACAGATTTTTTTCCTCCTTGAAAATAAATAACATTTTTGTCATTTTCTTAAAAGAGAAAGTCATCACCTTACCTGA